CACTGAGACATGACCTAGAGACATATTTGGACACAGTGAATTGGGTTGTGTCTGCAGTCTTGAGTCTGCAATATCCTCTACATCAGCAAAGGAAGAGGGCTTATCTTCAGCTTGCCTTGGGTTTAGAGCTGTTTGTTCAGAATGCCCCTCAGCATGTTGTATATTATCAATTTGTGGGACTTTCTGTCCATCTGGGGTGAGTGTGTAAGGAATCCCCTGGTCATCTATAAGTAGTGTATCCATTGGATCTGGGGTTATGACGGTGAGGTACGATGGATTTGGCATGGGTTCAAGCGCAGGGGAGGACAAACCTCCATCCCAATAATGTGGGAGATATGTATGAGCTTCACTTACTAATGGAATCCAGCACATTTCATTATCGTCCTCCTGCTCCACTTCTATATGTTGATGCTCATCCTCAATTTCATCAACTTCCATATGAAGTGAACCTTCATATTCAGGGTCTACAACCCATTCGCTCTGCCTCTCATTATTTCGGTCTTTCTTTTTTGGGAGGCTTAAATCTAATACCTCATCCCCTTCATTTTGTCCCAAAGAATCTCCTGCACTTGTCATTGCAGTATTCCTTCCAAAATCAAGTCTCTCCTCTCTTACATTACATTGAATTTGTGTTTTATAATCTTCAATGCGGTCTTTACTATATTCTAATCTTTTGTTTGAATTTATGTCCATCCCAAGTTTACTCTCTCTTGCATGTGGCACATCAACAACATGTATCTTATTATTAGTGCACAACTCCTTGCTTGTGTGGTTGGCTCCAGCAGGTGATGGTAGTTTATCATTTTGGAAACTTTTATTTAAAATAGATTGTTGTTGAACTTTAATCTCTAGTAAATCATTGGTTGAGATCTTAGCAATGTTTGTAGCTTTGGTTGTGACTTCACAAACTTCGGTCCTAGCATTAACAGACTCCATCTTGGGTATCAGCTGCATGTTTGTTGGTAGACTCCTTGTATTCTCATCAAAAGTAAGAAATTTATTTTTAACAGTCGGGTTTTCAAGAGGAATCGTCTGGTTTGAATCGGATTCATATTTTGGTGAGTTCTGCTCACTGCTCACAGAGTTCTGCTTGCTGTAATCCTTTACAACTTCTGTCTGCTCTTGTGCTGGAACAAGAAACACATCTTTGTTCTTAGATTCTGACCTCAATGAGAGCCTCTCCTCTGATAATTCGGCCTCTTGACCCACAGACATTTGGTAATCTTTGGTTGCAGAAAGGTCAGTCCACTTAATATGTGGAATGGTCTCACCTATCCCGTCCAATGCGTGTTGTTTGCGCATAGCAACCTCTGTACATTCAGCGGTAGAGAAGAAATCATATTATTCAGTACTTGTGGAGTAAGTCAGTTCATTATAACCTGAGAGAACATTGAAATATTGCCTGGCAGGGCCACAGAATCTTGCATAATCCAAAGAAATGGCACCATATCCATTTCATTGTCCATCTGACGTAACTGCTGATTTTCACCCATGTCTCTGGCACTGCCATCTGTCAGGACCTTCTACTCATCTAAGGCATCAGTCTGAAAAAAAAGACAAAATATGATTCTGAATTCTATAATAGAAATAGCAAAACTTAAAATACAAAGACAGATCTCAAATGTTAAAGTAACAATTCTTCAGAAAACATTAGTGCTGTCAAAATGTACAAATTAACTGCATCTTTTAGCCTACTAATAATCACCTTTTTAAAGTTATAGCCACTTTATATATTCATATATAATAAAAAAATTTAAAATTATTTAATAATATATTTAATATTGTGTATTTAAAATTAAATATAAAAACACAGCGTCATACAGTGCATAAAAATGGATACTAAGTTTTGATGTGGCTAAGAAAAAATTGTATAATCATTTGTTCATTTTCTGATCTATAATGGGTTGGTTTACAAGCATTTATAAAGCACTTATACTTCAAAAGCATAACAGAATCATAACATTGAATTAAAAACAACAGACAGCTGCAGTTGCAATTAAAAAGAGCAAACAGAGGAGGCGATATAGGGCGCCTTGATAAGAATCTGTAATTATATTTCATCTAGGGATCAGTGCTAATAATGTAATAGTAATTTAAAAAATAATAAACACATTTTCATCATTGTTAACAACACTGTTAACAACAACATGATTCAATTTCCAAGTTATTTTCATTTAATACTGATGCCTATGAAGAAATACATTCAACAGTAGGATCAGATGTTGACAATTACGATATCCCTGAGCAACTCGCCTAGAAAAAACAACAAGAACACAAACTTCTTAACAGGTTATTTTAAAAGCTTAAAAATATTTTATATCGGAATTTAACAATCACTTACTAATTTAGTACATTATTTTCTCAGGTGTATCCTGAACCCTCCTAAACTACACGATACGGTTATTATCAACTTTCTCTAGTAGTGTCGTTATGGTCCAATAGGTCAACAAATCTAGTATTAATATATTTCGAAAGCTTAAATCACATTTCAGAGGACACGGTTGGTGGATCATATTTTAGCAGTTGTTTTCATTTGTATCAACCTCTAATATGTCAACAATACAAAACTAACAGCATTTATTATAACACTGACAGTAAATTAAAACAATAAACCACTTTATGTTTTTAGAAACAGCATTATTACATTTTATTATGGCATACTATTTATACATAATCGCCTGTAATTAGCCTAAAACAAGAAATCCACCAGTAATTTATTTTTAATATGAATGACACACAATGATTGCAATTTAAAGGTTTTAGATTGTGTTAAACACACATTTATGAAGTTCTCACATTTAACAATATTACAAACACTAAAAGCAGACAAATTCTTAGGAAATAAAAAGCTTGACAGGACGCCAACACTAGTTAGCCAAGCTAAGAAACAGTTCTTACCTATAATAGTTACAACATTCAATATCTAATATTTGGAAAAAGTGCTCACATGCATGCCATGCAGTTTTTAAGAACGCAACGCAATGAGCTTGAACGTCGCGCTGTCATGGTAGCAGGTTCACTCCTCCTCCCCGTGGTTTTCATCACAAATTAAGTACGTTCATCTGTCAGCGCGCATGGCTCAGGGTTTGACACCAACGCCTTTGTCCGTACAGTCAGCCATGCAGCACTGTGGGAGAGTTAGAGATCAACACGGGGACATTCGACGCCATTAAGCGCCGGAGGTTCGTTTAAAGAAGAAAAATATAAAACCAAACACCGCGTTTGATGTCTGCGGGGTCCAGACAGCGAGTCGAACCCGTGCCATTATATGACCAAAAGTATCTGTCTGAGGGACATATCCTTCCATATCGTGGGTATGTCAGATACACTTGAATTATTCCCATATTTTGGTCAAAACACTGACTGCGCTCGAACCTGCGACCAGCCATTTTATGCGTACCGAGGGTTCGAGCCAGTGACAGCGCTCACACACTGCTGCTTTGGAAACCCTATTTCAAACTTTCCAAGACAACAAACGCTCTTTATCTGCTACTCACAAGAACATACATTTCTTCCCAAAAGCTTACAGCCATTCGCACACATTGCCTTTTTATAACCGAAATATTGAATATGAAACTGTTCTCACCCCACGAGTCAGCTCGCGCAGGCACTGACTGGCCCGACCCTGAGATACTTCCGGAAGACCAAATATGAATGAATGACTGGGCGGAGAGGTTGAGCGCGAGAGAGCGGGGAGGGGGGGATGTCGTGGTGTTGCAGTTTTCTACGTCCGACCTGGACTCGTTTAGGACTGAAAATTTTGAACATAACTTTAGTTGTGTATTTGTCACTATGTTTATGAGATGAATAAAACAAAACATAAACCTAAGGGTGAATCTCACTTTAACTGTCTACAGGTAAAATTTCACCCCAAAATTAAAAGGAAATAAATTGTATAAATAAAAGGAATTCTTTGTTTGTTTTTTAAAAACAGTATTTTCATTTATATTGAGCACATTCAAAAAGAAAATTACATTTTTGTGCTGAATTTAATATAGCCGGTTTGAAATAATACAAACAATTATTTATAATGTCACAACGATACCATTATTAATTGTATAATCTAATTGTTAATCAATTTGCATTACTGCATTCAGTCAATATTTATACATTTCAGTTACGCAAATGCAAGGGGGGGTCCATAAAATAATGTCACAATGCAAAAAAATAGAGCTTAATTAAAAAAATGATTTGTGTATTTTCTGTATTTTATAGGTTTTGAGGGCTCAAACATTTCTTTGTATGCATTTAAGTTGAAAGTTTTACTTATTTAAGTTTTCTAACTTTCATTTAAGTTTTGAGATATATGACTCAAACATTTCTTTGTTCAATCTAAATCATTTATACAGAGCACAGACTAGCCAAGTAAAATAAAATCAGTACTATTAATGACAACAAACAGTTTCCAATTTCTTTATTGTAGAATCATGCCAAAAGAGGTGAAAAAAAACTACATTCAAAGATTATTTATTATGAAGTTCGCACAATGCAAAACTGAATCCTTATGAAAGCACAATTCAGCATGGCTGTATATCAGCAAAGCTTTTATGCAATAATATTCAAGTTTACTCTTTTCTTATCAGCAGTCCAGTTAAAAATCAGTTAACTCTATAAAACTGCTTTTGGAATACAGTAAAATTAGAGAGCATCTGTACATGGCATGATTTCAGAGATCAGCCTGTGCTTTCTTGGTTGTGGTATTGACAAATGTATCAGTTAGCAGAAATAATTTTTTAAAGGGATAGTTCACCCAAAAATGAAAATTCTGTCATCATTTACTCACCCTCAAGTTGTTCCAAACCTGTATGAGTTTCTTTCTTCTGCTGAACACAAAATAAGATATTTTGAAGAATGTCAGTAACCAGACAGTTGATGGACCCCATTGCATCCATAGTTTTTTTTTTTTCCTACTATGAAAGTCAATGGCTACCGTCAACAGAAGAAAGAAACTCATACAGGTTTGGAACTCATACAACTTGAGGGTGAGTGAATGATGACAGAATTTTCATTTTTGGATGAACTATCCCTTTAACAAAGAAATTAAATATTATAACAAGATAAACATAAATGCTATAACTAAAAAAGCACTTTTACACTTAGTATGGCCACAAAACACAACAAAAGATAGCAGCTTATGACAATCGCGACCTCAAGCAAGTGAGGGTGTCTGCATACATCAGATATGATACAAACTCAGTTTAAGGTAACTTTGTCAATGCAACATACAAAATAGAAGAGAGAAGAGTTAAATGAGGCATAACTATGAGATCCGGAGATCCGGTCCAAAATAAAAATCTAGAGGCACATTAATAAAACAATTGTTTCTCTCCTCCAAAGTGAGGAGAGAACTGTGTGTGCCAACATATAAAATATGCTGTCATAATTTGATGTGTTTACTGAAGGTCAGCAGGATCACATGCATCAATCTCAGAAACCAGTCGATGAGGGAAGAGCTTGAACTGCAGCCAGGTAGGGTCTAAAGAGAAAAGAGGTAGATGAAGGTGATTCAGGGTTATTTTTAAGTATTATATGTATAAATGTGGTGGAAATTGTGTACCAAGGTAGCAACTAGGTGCCTTGAGCTGTCCATCTACGCAGACCTCTGTGGCAGTGAAGCTGCAATGTTTTTCTGTATGTTTACAGAAAAATGTCACATTCTCTCCATGGGCAACCACACCATCCGTCAGATCATATGGCCAGCGCTTTAGTGCTCCCACAATCACCCTGCTGCGTTGAGCTGGGACTGGACAACGGGCTGATCGGAAGGGCAAGGGAAAGAAATGGAGAAGAGAATGATGGGAGATATTGGTCATGAGTCTCATGACAAAAAGGAAAGGAGGTTTATTATTCACGGCTGGAAACGATACTGGTTACTAACGTAACCTCGGTTCTCTCTAGAAGAGGGAACGAGTATTGCGTAAGTTTAGCTTACGCTACGGGAAAGATTCATCTTCTCGAGATATTGAAGCCAAAAATTATCCTTAATTTTGTATATGTTGTCAACGCAGTGCAGCAGCTAGCAGACCTAGAGCGGGCATTCTAGCGCGCTCATAGGCTGCTCTGCGGGAACTGCACAGCCTACCAGTGAGCCTGACGTCACGTCCAATCGCGGGCACTCGCGCCCTCGCCGCGTCCTAGCCCGCCAGAATGGGCGTGGCTTAGCGTATATAAGCGTGGCTCGGAGGCTGATTCTCTGGTTTTCATCGACTGAAGCGAAATAGCGCTTGTGGCGTTTAGCACGGCAGGTTACGCAATACTCGTTCCCTCTTCTAGAGAGAACCGAGGTTACGTTAGTAACCAGTATCGTTCTCTTACGAGAGGTTCTCTCGTATTGTGTAAGTTTAGCTTACGCTACGGGAACCCATTGTCCATGCCGTGCACGCCCGCATCCACCTCATGAGTCACAACACTTCTGTGAACCCAGAAAGTGGGAATAACACGCATGTACATAAGCGCGAGCATAAGCGCGAGTACCATGAGCGTATAAGCGCGTGTAAACAAGCACTGACAGGCAATACAGAGCGGCCGTGTGTGGCCGGTGTATAGGCATATATAGCACATAACCTGAAACAGTGCAGCTCAACCAGAAGAGCTGAATTCACGTGAGGGTAGTCTGCGCATGATAGTATCTGGACAGGGCTAGCCTCTCACTTAAACAGACAGCAGTTTCGCCTGCAGGGCGGGAACTTCTAGGTTGTAAAACCTGACAAAGGTGGACGGAGAGGACCAGCCCACCGCCACACATATGTCTAGAATGGAAATTCCACTTGCCCATGCCCACGACGAGGCCACGCCTCTAGTGGAATGAGCCCTGATGCCCAAGGGGCACTGCAGACCTTTTGCCGTGTAAGCGGCTGCGATTGCATCTACTATCCACCTGGACAGGCTCTGTTTCGAGGAGGCGAGACCTTTAGTGCACCCATCAAACGAAACAAACAGCCGCTCAGAGCGCCTGAATGGGGCGGAGCGCGTAATGTACAATCTCAGAGCTCTGACTGGGCAGAGGAGATTAACATCATTTTCACTATCGGATGCTGGCAGAGCCTATAGAGAAATGACCTGTGCTCTGAATGGGGTGCCGACCACTTTGGGAACGTAACCATGTCTAGGCTTGAGGATGATTTTAGAGTCATTCGGGCCAAACTCAAGACACGACGCGCTTACAGACAGCGCGTGTAAATCCCCCACGCGTTTGACTGATGACAGTGCGATCAGAAAAACAGCTTTGAGCGACAGGTATTTCAGGTCCGCTGTGTCCAGGGGTTCAAAGGGGAATGCTTTCAGGGCCTCTAGGACCAGTGAAAGGTCCCACATAGGAACCGAGGGAGGGCGCGGGGGGTTCATCCTTCTGGCTCCTCTGAGGAAGCGGATGATAAGCTCGTTTCTGCCTATTGACTGGCCGTGCATTGATTCAGAGAATGCTGCAACAGCCGCCACATAGACTTTGAGCGTGGAGGGGGATCTGCCCCTATCCAGCAGCTCTTAAAGGAAACTGAGCAGCCGCGGGACCCCACACATTCACGGATCAAGGTTTTTGTTAGTGCACCACTTAGAGAACACAGACCATTTGGACGCGTAGAGCCTTCTGGTAGAAGGTGCTCTAGCACATGTGCAGCTCTCAGTGAGCGCAGATGGTGCTGGAACCAAACGAGGAGGCGTTCCGCCAGATTGCAGAGGTTCCTGGATCTGACGCATCCCTGGCGATTTAAATAGGACACCACAGACATGTTGTCCGAGCGGACTAGAACATGGTGGCCCTGAATGAGCGGGAGGAAGCGTTTCAGCGCGTTCTCGACCGCTATCATTTCCAGACAGTTTATATGGAGGAGTTTTTCCCGGTCTGACCACAGGCCGACAACTGGTCTGCCCTCGAGGGTGGCGCCCCAACCTGAGTTGGAGGCGTCCGTCGAGATGACCTTCCTGTATGAGACCGGCCCCATAGTCACTCCTCTCTGGTACCAGTCGGCCGCTGACCAGGGCTGCAGAGCTGTGATACAGCTCTGAGTCACTCTGATCCGCTCGCGACCCGACCTCCAAGCTCGGTGTGGCACACGCGCGGCCAGCCAGTGCTGTAGCGGGCGCATGCGTAGTAAACCTAGCTGGAGTACCGCCGAGGCTGAAGCCATCAAGCCTAGCATCCTCTGGAATTTTTTCAGAGGGGAAACGCTGCCCGCTGTGAATGACATGGCCAGTTGCGCTGTGTAGACAGGCGAGCCGTCATGGTCACTGAGTCCAGTTCTATTCCTAAAAAGGAAATTGACTGACTGGGCAGTAATGAGCTCTTGGTTCAGTTGACCGTGAGACCTAGGCATTTCAGATGGCTGAGAAGCGCAGTTCTGTGAGATAATAGCTTTGTCTCTGACTGTGCTAGAATCAACCAATCGTCCAGATAGTTCAAAATCCGCATGCCCTGAGTTCTCAAGGGGGCGAGAGCCGCGTCCATTCACTTCGTGAATGTACGGGGTGCTAGGGACAGGCCGAACGGCAGGAAGGTGTATTGATAAGCCCGATCGTCGAAGGAGAATCTCAAGAATGGCCTGTGACGGGGTATTATCTGAATCTGGAAATAGGCATCTTTCAGATCGAGAGATATAAACCAGTCCCCCTGGCGAATGTGCGGGAGGAGTTGTCTGGTTGTAAGCATTTTGAACGGTCTTTGTGTTCATTGTGATGCGCGAGCGGCGCCTTGAGAGGCGTGCAGGCTTGTAAGCGCGGGCGCTCGTGGGCGGACGCGTGACTTACAACCATAGATTGACCGGCATGAGCTTGCGCTTTGTGGCGTGTGTTTAACAGCACTGGCGAAGCGCGTGTCAGTAAGCGTGAGCGCTTGTGAGCGGGCACAAGACTTACGTTTATATTGTGGCTCATGTGGGACTGCGCACTGTGGTGATGGATAACTTGCTCTTTATGAGATTTCTCTGGGTCGCCGTAAAAACGGCGTTTGTGTTCAGGCGAGCGGGTTGTGTAACCGACTCGTTGACTGCTAAATGATCCACTGCAGTAGCCTGGGATGAGGGGACTGACAGGGCTAGAAGTTTTGACGGTGGTCCGGCCGCGGCGAGACACGACCGTCTTTTTCCTCCTGATGGTGCTAGGAGGGCTTCGCGTGCTCAGGTTTCAACGCGATCTTCGGCCGAGGCCCTCGTGGGGGGTGGGGCCTGTTGCGGTTAGCTGAGCATGATCTAGGGCGGCCGCCCTGTCGCTGCGAAGACTGGCTGTTCTGTCTGGGCTGAGCTGGGCGCTGCGTGGCCGAAGAGACCGGAGGGTGAGAGAGGGGCGTCGAGGAAAACGGATCGCTCAGACTCTCTCATGTCAGCCAGCGTCAGCCAAAGGTGCCTCTCAGTTACAGTTAACGAGGCCATGCATCTCCCCAGGGCCTGGGCCGCAGACTTAGTATCGCGAAGGGAGAGATCCGTCATGCTCCTCAGGTCCGTAACGGCAGCTGGGTCCCGGCCTTTCTCGTCCCACTCACGGAGGAGATCGGCTTGGCGAATTTGCAGAACAGCCATTGAGTGCAGGGCGGAAGCTGCTTGTCCGGCGGCGGCGTAAGCGCGACCGACAAGGGCAGATGTGGTCCTGCAGGCTTTAGATGGTAGGGCAGACTTTCTGCCATCTCGCGGAGGGCGGACAAAGGTGCGCTGCGACAGCTTCCTCGACCTTCAGAATAGAGCTGTATCCCTTCTCAGCGGCGCCGTCCACTTGGGAGAGCGACGCGGAGACAGAGGAATGAAGCCTCGCGGAGAAAGGGGCATTCCACGATTTAGCCAGTTCCGAGTGCAGCTCAGGGAGGAAGGGCGCGGGCCTGGAAGCGGGCACTTGACGGTGGCGACTCTGACGAAAGCAGCCATCAAGCCTGTTGGGGGCGGGCTCCTGAGGCGGTGACCACTCGAGCCCGAGGCGGTCGACGGCCTGCGAAAGAAGGCGCATCAGTTCGGCTTCCGCTCCAGCGCGTGTTCTCCCAGACTCCTGAATAGAAGAGGAGGCGGAGCGTTGAGAGCTCGACCACTCCTCGCTATGCGAAGCTAGGATGGAACAGCTATCTCCGGCGACCGGCTTCCTCAGTCACTGTCCTAGCTGGGTTTGACGCTGTTTCAACGGCGGCGGCTTCTCAAGGTCCAGCGATGCGAGCAGCTTCGCTGAAGAGATGAAAATCAGAGAATCAGCCTCCGAGCCCCGCTTATATATGCTAAGCCACGCCCGTTCTGGCGGGCTAGGACGCGGCGAGAGCGCGAGTGCCCTCGATTGGACGTGACGTCACGTCTGGCTCACTGGTAGGCTGTGCAGTTCCCGCAGAGCAGCCTATGAGCGCGCTAGAATGCCCGCTCTAGGTCTGCTAGCTGCTGCACTGTGTTGACAACATATACAAAATTAAGGATAATTTTTGGCTTCAATATCTCGAGAAGATGAATCTTTCCCGTAGCGTAAGCTAAACTTACGCAATACGAGAGAACCTCTCGTAAGAGAACCAAAACACTCCAAACCTTACATTGAAGAAAATAAAAATGCTTAATGTAAAAGTTCAACACAGCCATGATGACTGAATGTATTGTGTTGTTACCAGCTTTTTTTACCCCGGCAAGCAGGCTCTGCACTCCATGTCCCATTAGGTAGACAAGTCACTTGATTTGGTCCATCCAAAAAGAAGGTTTTCTTGCAAAGGTAATAAATTGTGTCACCAACTTCATATTCATTTCTCTGGACAGCCACCAGGTGTCCACGATCAACCTCCTTAGGAGGAGGACAAACCACACCTGGTAACAAACATATGCACACACTTATACATAAATATGCTTGCAGAATTACAGTTTAAAAACCTTATTAAGTCTAATGTGAAAACTCTTAAAGGAATAATCCTGTGCTCAATCGACATCATTGTGGCACAATGTTGATTATATGCTACAAGTAGCAAATTATTTGAATGTTTATGGCCCAGTTTCACAGACAGCTTAAACATGCATTTTAGTCTGGATTCGGAACTAGCTTAAGCCTTGTCTGTGAAACCGGGAGTATGTGTTTATGTTAAAGTGTAGAAATGTTATAATGTGTGTATTATTTGAGCTGTAAAGTTTTTATGGTCATCATGATTTTTCCAAGTATGACATGTTCCTGAATCAATATATTTTGTTGATCCTGGAACAACATTCCTGTCTGAAAATTTAGTTAAACCAAACCCATACCAATAACGTATCCCTAAATTGATGTCCTTTGACATAAACGGTAAACCCTCAAATCCGATTGGTTGATTGGAATGTTGTTCCAGGATCAGCAAAGATGTTGATCCAGGAACATGGCTGCAAAAATTATGTTGATCCAACAGGGGGCATCATTGCACCAGAATAATTTAGTGAAACCGGCATTTTAGTGAAGCTCCACTAGCTCTACACACTCAAAAAAATCATTTACACATAGTGCCCTATCCGCCTACTCTCAAACCCACACAGTCTTTATTGCTCTTCTCTCTCCCGCTGTCCCTCTCATCTCTCTTTCATTACTTTGTACCATTTTGTGCAAGTGTTGCTACACAATATCTCTTTAGCAGTTTGAATCAACATCTTCCACTCAAGCATACATTCTAATACACCTGCCGCTATTTCCTTTTAGCAAGATCTCTGTCTCAGTCATTCCCATGCGGAGGAGGATGTGTAGACACACACACACTCATGCACACACACACTTACGGCGACAGATGGGGTGAGGGTATTGCCATGTCTGGTTCTCGTGACAGATATTCTCACTATTTCCAATCAGCACAGATCTGTATGGGGAAAAGGACGAGTTGTGTAGATTGCATAACTATAATAAAAAGAGACATTCTGTTGTATATCAGTCACAGATTTCTCTTTCGAGTTTTATTTTTTCTCTTCAATCTCACCCAGATGCACATTGATACTGGATGGTGAATCCCACAGCAGCACTGCCCTGCACAGAGAGCAGATCATCATCTTCAGGCAAAGAACAGGACACCTCAGGCACCAGAACCGGATCTGCTGTAAGACCTCCACCTGGGGAGGCTGGTGGAAAAATCAAAATAGCTTATTTATCTCTTGACCTGAGTATGCATTTAAATGCTAAATTGATTTGGTCAAGTCCTTTGAAATGTACACTTTGTGTTTGTGTTTCTTATTGCTTTGAATAACCTTTATGTCATTTTCAGGAAAGTGAAAACAAGTAAATAAAACAAGTAAAAAGTAGTAACATATTTTCCATTTTTAATTCAAATATCATGAATTATTAATTCATACATATCACGTTTTTGGGGTGTCCATTGACATTTTACAATCTGAACTAACCTTGTTTGTCATAAAATGGTAAAATTATCTGATATTACAAGAGACTGATTGACCTTGACACACAGTCATGAGGGTCTGCAAGGGGGCTCTCTGTGATATCATTTCATGTTTTATGTTTTTTTTTCTGCATGTTACTGTATGTTAGTTGCACCACAACTTTGATTGGGTGACTTTGATTAGTAAAACAGTTATTGTTTCCTAAGAAATAATAGGCTAATCAAAAACAGCCAAAAATCCGTAGAACATCTGCGCCAAATACTGAAGGAGTTAGAAGATTAAAAAATTACTTTGGTGCGTAAGCTGACACCTATGAGGAAAACGCCTGTTTTCTCAGAATCCTGAAGCCTGATTGGTTCATGTCTGTGCATGACATTTCAGCCCGACAAAAAGGGCGGGGTTGACTGCCTATATAAGTCACACAGAAATGTCATCAGTCAGAATCTTTCCTTCAGCGCGAAGATCATCTCGCTGTTCCGAAGAAGACTGAAGCCTCTATTCGCTACTTGCTGTCGAACGAGCCTCGCAGCGAAACAAGACGCTCTGCAAGCAAGCTGACTGCACAGTGCGCTGCAAGCAAGCTGATTGAGTGTCTCCACTGCTGCCATCCGAAGGTTAAATAAAAGAAAAACTTTTAAAGGCAAATTTCAGCGACATTGTTTTAAATGTCTGTCATGTCGTGAATGTGGCTTGTACAGGGCTCACCTAGCTGCCTACTCTAGATGAGCACTCTGAGTGCACTTCTTGCCTGGGCCCATGCCGAGGTGGCACTTCTAGACTCAAGCTGCCCGCACTGCAAGAAGCTGAATCTTGTGACGCTGAGCGCCCGGATAGAGCTCTTCAGCAATCCTGCCACTTCCACATCTCCTTCCCCTCTCGAGTCGAGGTGAAAGAAGAAATGGAGCCGCCAGGCTGAGCAGCAAGGCGGAATCGAGTTCACATCGGCCCAGCGCCTGTGTGCCTCGCTCTCCCCTCACCGTCACGAGTCACCTGTGTTCTTCACCCACAAGGATCAACGCCCCTCATCTGGTGCGAGTGGCATGGTCTCATTTGGTGGGTCTGAGGAAGAACTAGACTCTATGTCTCTGGTTGCCTCTGACTGCGAAGAGTGGACGAACTCCAGTGATGACTCCGCCCCCCTGTCGCATAAACTGTGGTAAAGCACGGCCTTGCATGGACTCAGAGCTTTTGCGAGTCCTCACTAAAGCTGTCGAAGAGCTCAGCTTGGACTGGTCGGCCCCAGAAGAGCCCGCCCGCAGCCGACTCAACGAATGGTTCCTGCAGCCAGGACGGCGCCAGCAGGACCCTCGCCAGTGTCCAGCCCCATTCTTTCCGGAGGTCCACCAGGAACTAACTAAGACGTGGCACGCCTCCACTGTTCCTCTTCGCTATGGCCAGTCTAGTGGTGCTGGAGCGCCACTTGTGGGTCAGTCTCACTGAGATTAAGGATGCCGACAGGACTCTTCTTGATCCCCCGTCTCCCCATCGGGCCTGTTTGCCTCCGCGGTGGACGGCTTCGCGGAATGCTACATCAAGGCCCAGATGTCATCGCAAGCTATGCATAACTTCTTGCCTAAAAGAACCAGCTCCACCACTGCCTCCAGTCACTCCAAGACGGCCCCGCCAACCCAGCAGCGACCCAGGCCAGTCTCAGCGCCCGTCCAGCCCCAGCCGGAAGTCAAGCAAATCCTCCGCCCAGCCAAATGCTACCCATATCTGAAGCATCAAGTGCTTCGCCCCAAGCTAGAGCTGGACCCCGTGCAGCCGAAGCAGTCCTGATGCCTCAGAACGGAGAAAAAGGTTAAGTCCCACCGAGGCCGGACCACCCTCAAAGCGTGCTCGTCTTCCAGTCCCCTCTTCAGTTCAGGGCGCTAGAATTGATGTAATTGTTGCCGGTTCTGGGCCCGTCCCACCAGTTTGCGCACCCAAACTCCTTCTCGCTGTTATAGTGAACCAAATAAAATTAGTATATTTTCACAAAAAGAAAAAATTTCCTCCTCTCAATGCTGTAACAGGTGCTGTTCTCCCGCCCTAGCACGGGAAACAGGCTGTAGTACTTCAACCATTTGCCACTCCACTCCAGGCATGACAGGCCATCCCCGGAGTGTTGAGCTGGATTTTGGGGATAATAGAACGAGGTTGCTCCAATTCGCTCGTAGACCGCCCCGCTTCAGGGGCATGATTCAAACATCGGTCTCAGACGATCTCAGTTCGCATGTCCTCAGAGCTGACTTTTAGTCTATGCCAGGGGCGGCTGGCCAATAGAGGGTGCTAGGGCATTTTCAACACCCAAGGTCGCTTTACAAAGAGAGGTTAAAGATACAAACAAAGAGGGATTTAAACAAATAACATATCTATAACAAGGTAGAATTTACAGACTGTGCTGAAGAGTAATATTCAGAGAGGTTTTTGAAGGAGAGAAGGGTGGATGCTTGACGGATGTCTTGAGGAAGAGCATTCCACAACCTGGGAGCCACAATGCTAAAAGACCTGGCTCCCCTGGTTACCACCAGACTATTGAAACTGACTGAATATGGCGCAGCCCGACCTAAGATATTTTTCATCAGCCGCCACTGGTCTATGCTGGAAAAAGGTGCCATGGAGAAAGTCCCCACAGAACGCAGCGAGTCAGGCTTTTGCAGCCGCTACTTCCTCGTCCCCAAGAAGAATGGCGGCCTAAGGCCTATCCTCGATCTGAGATGTCTGAATCGCGCACTCACCAGATGGCCCTTCAGAATGTTAACTATCAAACAAATCCTTGCACAAGTTCGCCCCGGGGACTGGTTTATATCAGTGGATCTGAAAGATGCTTATTAGTAATACAGATAGCCCCCCATTACAGGCTGTTCTTGAGATTTCATTCGAGGGGGTGGCATACCAATATACAGTCCTTCCTTTCTGACTTTCTCTAGCTCTGCGTTCTTTTACGAAGTGCGCAGAAGCGGCTCTCTCCCCTCTGAGACAGAATGGAATCAAAATACTCAACTATCTCGATGATTGGCTACTTATAGCCCAATCGACACAAGAGCTATGCACCCATAGATCTCAGCTCCTCAGCCATCTAGAGGACTTGGGCTTCAGGGTCAACTTTGGCAAGAGTTTGCTGCTCCCCAGCCAACAAATTTCGCTCTTCGACTCAGCCCAAATGCAGGCTTAGCTCTCACAAGAACGCGCCTTGAAAATCAGGAGCATGGCCACCTCGTCCAAAGTGGGGTCCTTTCACCCCCTCAAGAGGTTTCAAAAGCTGCTGGGCCTCATGGCAGCAGCTTCCTCTATCATTCTGCTGGCCCTGCTCCACATGTGACCACTCCAGCTCTGGTTAAAAGGTCTCGTCTCACCCCATGTGTGGCACATAGGCCGACACATTCTCAAGGTGACCCACGGCTGTGTCAGAGCCCTGGTCCCTTGGAACCAGTCTCAGCGTGGCCTCCTCTTGGGCGTGGTCCAGGGGAGTCTCTATCGCACATATCTCTCCAGCGGCTGGCTGGTCCTCACCGTCCACCTTTGTCAGATTTTACATCATGGACATCCCTGCTCTTCAAGCATGGGTGTTGTCAGTATCAGACACTTATGGACTGTGTAGCAGGCTCCAACCACGGTTTGAGCCTCTCTCTATGCAGCTGGTCTAGGGGCCCTGAATTGAGCGTAATGCGAGTGAACTGTATCGAAAGAACGTTTATGGTTACTCGCGTAACATTGGTTCCCTGAGATAACGGGAACGAGCATTACGTAGCTTGCCGTGCTACCTTTGCTGCCCGGCGAGTCATGCTAGCTGCTCCTCAGTCGAAAGATTCTGACTGACGACGTTTCTGCGTGACTTATATAGGCAGTCAACCCCGCCCTTTTTGGTGGGCTGAAACGCCATTTGTTTTTTTGTTTTCCCCATAAGCTTCAGCTAAAACTGACTCAATGCTCGTTCCCGTTATCTCAGGGAATCAGGGTTACATGAGTAACCATAAACGTTTTTCAAGGAAACGCAATACTTTAGCGAAAAAATACAAAAGTTTTGCAAGCAAACGCAAGTTTGTATCATTTAAATGGTTCTCATGCATGATTTAGGGGTGGTAAATGGCTTTTTTCACCGTATAAGTTCAAAACAAGAGCTTAGACGGTGTAAGGGAAGAGAATTTACGGTCAAAAGCCCTCCGTTATTCAGCTTCCCTGATTTTTGATACATAGTCGGAAAAGGAATCCGAATGGATGACCCTGTGGATAATGGCATGGGGCTTTTATCCACTGCACTAGATGTGGTAACACACAATACATGACTTGGTGAATGAACAGATTGGTAAATAGGGTTAACAAATGGATTCACAGGTCACCACGTGGCTGAGCAGGTTCCCAGATGATGGATGGACAGAATGTGCGTCTTCATTTTGAGTTTTGTCAGAAAAATCTGGAACAAGCTGTTCTCAGATTCCCTCCTGTGCAGTTGACTCATGCAGTTACAGTATGTATCGAATCTCTCCCTCTTTTGTGAGGATGACTGATTAATGAAGGGGGAGGAAATCATACAGTCAACATGCACACACACCAAACTTCCATTGTAAATGAATTCAGCTTTGAATGCGCTTGAACTTTGTGTGTGAATCCGGCATATATACATGCCTGTCTCTGCTTGTTAAATATTCCATGTCACTGATCTGCAGATAATAGAGTATTGCAGGACAGATCTCACAGACCCCAAACGCCCACACCTCGGCTCTTTTGACAGCTCATTCCTAGAAATACCTCTCATGTTACTCCAGGAAATGAGTGTTTGAATGTGTGCATGTGTTGCAGAGGGGGTGATACTGGAAATGCTGCAGCCTGGAGCTCTGCCGATTTACGCCTCCTCTTCACAGAGCTGGAGTCTTTAGACTAAAACCTCACCATCCAGAAATAAGCGCTGACCCAGGTCCACAAGCTCCAAGCTTTTGTTCCATAATATTCATGCAACCAAAAATGCATTATTATGCAGACACTGACACATATTTCTCTTTTTTTCTCACATTCATGGCTGGCTGCGCTAAATATCACCACCATAATATTGCTAATAACTTTACAAACAAGATAAGGTCAACCTGACCCAACAGGACTGATGTCATTTTCTGTAAAGCTGCTTTGAAACAATATGTTTTGTAAAAACAGTAAAAAAAAATACATAACAGTTTAAATGTTTACTCCTTTCTACCTGTACAAACAGGCTCATCTCCACTCCACTGCCGGTCACCCTGGCAGCGGCGTATTGTAGCGTCCAGCCCGTTATGCATGGTGTACCCAGGCTTACAACGAACCTCTAGCAGAGCGGAGAAAGAGGGCAAAGGGGAAAGGAGAACTACATCCGAATTTTTTGCAGGTGGGAGAGGCCACGGACACGTACGACCTGTTCACAAAGAATACTCACATGAAAACTGTGAACACTGCCTTATAATATATTATAGATTTAGTAAATTTTTTTGGTTTATTTGCTTTTATGTTTCATAACAAATGCATTATGGGGTTTCTTGCTCTGACCTGGGGCCACACAGCTGAGTCCACACTGCCCGTCGCAGAGACACTGACGTTTGTTGCCACAGTCTTTATCTTGCTGACACTTTTTTGGGCATGTTTGCCTTCTCTCATTACCCAGTATTCTCTCTGGACACTGTTCTGTTACATCCACTATACAGAAATAAAGACAATATGCAGATCATAATTTGTTTCACAGGCAGGTGGGCTGACACACATACTACCATGTGTGAAAATAAGTCTCTTATGCTTAAGGTTGCATTCATTTTGATCAAAAATACAGTAAAAACAACAATTGTGAAATATTTTTTACAATTTAAAATAATGGTTTCCTATTTTAATATATTTTAAGGTGTAATTTATTCCTGTGATGGTATAGCTGAATTTTCAGTATCATTACTCCAGTCGTCAGTGTAATGTAATACTTCACAATTTTACTGTTTTTACTGTATTTTGATCAAATTAATGCAACCTTGGTGAGCATAAGGGAGTCCATGCCATATAGTGTCATGCCATCAACACATTTTAAATACAGGATACATTTGTCTGTCTAACTATTTAATCCATGCCATAAAAGAGCAGGCTGTTAAATGTTTGGCAGTCTGCCCACGAGCTGAACCAGGTGTTTAACACAATACATCCACATAAACCAGACAGTGTTATGGATTTAGCCCACCCATAAACAGGAATGTTTCAAGCTCACAATTAAACAGGATATTAGTTGTAGAATGAAAGAGCTTAACATAATAATGCATTTCTGATTAAGCATTGATTTTGAGCTGAAAAAGAAGATGATATAGGCTACTGCATGTGTGTGTGTGTGTGTGTTCCGTATTTCATGGAAAACTAGCTCTAAGAAACAGATTCTCAAGGCAATATGTGAAAGGGAGGGGATGATAGTAGAAAATGATCAAATTAACATGTATGTATAACACAATTTTTTAGGGTTTTTTAATGTCAATTTTTTTTTATCCTACAGTAAAAGTCAGTGGAGTCTGAAGTTGTTTTGGACCCCATTGACTTTCATTGTATTGGCAAAAACAGTTGAATGATTCTTCAAAATGTATTATGTGTTGCACAGAATAAATTAACCATGCAGTTTGGGAGTAACATACAGTTAAGTAAATAATGACTGAATTTTAATTTTTGGCTGAATATAAATTTCATAAACAATGAAATGGAGACTCAAAATGTATCTTTAAATACAAAATATGAATAATAAATACTGAACTAGAGTCTCTAAGGCAAAAATCTATCAAATGAGCTGTCATTCATTCAATATTCATTAACAAATCATAAAAAAAAAAAACAGTTTTACATGGAAAGCCATCCATAATCCTTTCATTCTCACCTGATGCTGCAGCCAGGCTGCTGAGGGCCCACACACACAGAAGAGACACAAGCAGAGATCGCTCCATCTTTCCCTGACACTTACTTTAGAGGTTATGAAAGAGGTAGTGAGATAGAAGGGGGAATATAAAGATGGGGGAGAGTCTGGAGGAGGGGGTATTGTGATGGTGTGATGGCGAGGGAGGAGTGGAGCTGCCATACATGCACACACACATCTGGATCGTATTGAGTGTTTTGAATACTGGGTAGAATTCCGCAGAAAAAAGACCTTTCACCCAATTCCATCGATGCCAAAAGAGCTCGAACACTTACACCCACATCAAATGACAGGCCTCGTGGATACACTCTTCTCCACATACAGACGCACAGTGCCAAGTCGAATACTGTAACAAAGTGTCTGTTAAACGGCAAGAGTGAGCCGACACATCTCAACACACCACAATTAAACTCAGCATCCTATAAGACAGAAAGGAACCAACTTCCTTTAGCAAGAGTAAATACACACTTTGACAGATAAACGTGACACGCTCCCACACAGAGCGACCAGCTAAACCAACAAACAATCACATTCAGGCTACGTCCACTGATTTATCTCACCCTTTTGATGAATGTCACACTCAGTGAATGAAACAAACCTCTTTATCTCTCAAGGATGAACATACATAAGCTGTTGTTTACTGGTCAGAAAGGGTAAACTCTTCCATAATAAATATCTTAAGGAATAAAGATAAAAGTACTATAAGAGTACTCTGAAGAGCATATTGGACAATGTTTATTGTTTTTGGAAGATTGGAGGCAACTCACTAAGGCCTTCATGTGTACTGAATGTTGATTTCCCTGTCTGTTCCTCTCCCCTTTCTGTGAGGACACTGAGGTGAGGTCTACATGTGCTTAGATTACGTCTGGACAATAAACTACACTTTGGGATTCCTGGGTTTGCCCAGCAGAATCCTTTGGTAAACCTATTGGCACCTTTTAAAAAAAGGCAGAGTTCTTTGTAGAACATGCTAATTTGGACCCATAAATCCATGCAAGAGCCATCAAGCTCTTTGTCTAAAGACTTCCTCATCACAGGAAAAGGGTTTTGATGCACTTGAAATATTACTTGACCTTGAGAGCACAATAAGATTTTTCAAATACCCTGAAAAAGGTTCCTAGAGCAGTGGACCTTTCTGACTCCAAGGCCTGCAATTGTCGAAGACAATATTTGAAGACCCCCAAGATATTTCTGATATTTATGCTCATTTTCAAACTTTTCCATTCACATAAACTAGGAGTGGCAAGTAGGGTTGCAGTAATGAAGTACATGAACGATGGAGAACAAAGCAAGAACAGACTTTATTAACTATACAAATAGATCACACAACCACATAAACTAAAGAAATGACCGAACACTGAGGAAACTAAAAGGGCTTAAATACACAGGACTAGATAATTAACAAAACTAGAGACACGTGCGTAATTAAATCAACAACCATCGCAAAAAGTACCCAGATGACCTACATCTTCCAGCAAAATTCTGAAGTGTGCATATGATGGACACTTTAATATCCCATGAGGCCACAGGAGAGGATTTATGAATGGCAGTGAAGCGACATAACTGGCGCTGGTTGGTCACATGATAATGACAACATTGCGAATGTAGCATGTCCAGATTACATTTATACTACACACATTCACATTAGAATATACTTTTTTAGCGGTCGTGAAGTAATTAATTATTCAAAATAAGTACCTACTCAAGGGAGTATGCAAATTCAGACGCAGCCAGTGTGTCCCATATCGTAGTATGTTGAAATGAGTATTCCAAAGATACCCGGATGGTCTACTTTTTCCAGTTAGAATCCAAAGTGCAGATTCGTGCACACTCTAACGGCTAATGTTGCCCACAACCCATTGTGCGTTGGACGAGGATTCAATCAGAACCACAAACACAGATAAAGACGGTTAAAAACTACAAACAATGGCAGGTGTGGAAGCCCAACGGTTAAGTAGAGAGGTTTAGATAAAGGGGTCTGAGTGATTAATAATATAATCTGACGAAAACATATTTATTCAATGTTAATGTCACAAACTGCTCCGAGACACAAAGGCTGAGGATCCAAACACAGTTTTTATTAGCGGTAATCAAAAATCGTAATCCATACGACTGACAGGCAAGGGAAAACAGGGAAAACAATCCAAAACAAACAACAGGGTAGAAAGCAAAGGCAAACAGGGGAATCCAGGAAATTGGGCAGAAGGTCAAAACCAAAACTCAGGAGACAAGCGAGAGTGCTCAGAAATGCAGTGTGACACATACAAGACTTCGCAGAGAATGACTGAATAAACAGAGCTTAATGGACAGAGTTAACAAGGGGAATGGCACACAGGTGGAAGTGATAAGACCATATTGAGTCGAGGCAATTGGCTTTATGTCACAGCTTCACTACTTCCTGAACTTCAGCCAGCCCTTTGTTTCCTGTCTGTCATTATTGGACAAACTGATTAATTCAGGTGTGCCTGGCCTCAGTAACAATAATCAGGCACACCTGGATTAATCCGTTTGTCCAATAATGACAGACAGGAAACAAAGGGCTGGCTGAAGTTCAGGAAGTAGTGAAGCTGTGCATAACGCCTATTGGTTATGGAAAGTGTATAGAGGGAATGCGCATGACGTCACCGTCGGCCGGAGTGAATGCGGTCACGCCCACAAGTGGCAAAAAGACCGAGCGGCAGCATTTGTTTTCAGTGTGAACGCCGTGAAAATCACACAACACACATCTAAAACGGGAAAGAGGTTTGCGATTGACTGTACAACTAGATTTGACCAGAAATCTGAGGTACTGTATATTTTTACAGACTGCAAAAAGCTACAGAACAGACTATATTCTGCATAATTGGATGTTTTTAAATAAACACTGACAAAAAACTATACAAGTTTTAGGGCTGGACGATATGATGATATACAGTATAACATTAATGTAAGTGATCACTCGGATTTAGACCTATCTATATTGTATTTATATAAAACGTTTACAGGCAAATTGTCTTCATTTATTTCCCCGGCGTCGAAATCAGGCACATATAAATGTCAGGAAACACGATTCCTGGCTGCATGTCAATATCCATGGATCACTGGATCTTTAATAAGTTGTAAGGAACACTATATCGAGTCCAACTTTTAGTTTAAACTGATAATAGTTTGTTTTACTCGCGTTAACGCAGTTTCCCCTATTAACTCCAGTCACGCAGCAGCTCTTCTGCCACTCAGTCCCTGTTACGTGTGTGTGTGTGTGTGTGTGTGTCTGCCCAGGTGTACTGCTGTTTGTCTGTCTTCTGCAGGTCCTGTGGGCACACCTGTCTCCAATTGGCAATCAGCTAGTGTGCACACCTGTTGGCAATCAGCAGGAGAGCGGGAGCTGTTACAAAGGGAAGAGAACAGGCAGACTGATACAGGAGTGTGTGGAGAACAGACGTCTCTATACAGACAGCGTACCGGAGCTGGGTGATACTGCAGTGGCGTTAGTGGAGTCCGTGCAGTAGTGTGTAACAAGTCTGACCCTCGTGCTGGGGTTTACTCTCTCGGTGGAGAGAGGGTGGTAAATACTAGTGTTTGTAGTTGTTTTTTGTTGTACCTTTTTGATACTTACCTTTTTGTATCTGTTGTACCTTTTGGTTATTTAATGTTGTAAATAAACGCCATACTTGTTGATAAATCGGTATCCTTTGTTCCTTCAACCCGAAATGGTTTTATTATTGTTGCCAACCTCCTCCCTCCCTGGACGTTCCACTGGAGGTTCGTAACAATTTGGGGGCTCATCCGGGATCTGTTTTCCCAAACATTTCGGGTTGTATGGGAGAAAGTGGTAAGCAATTATCATTTCTATTGGTGTTAAAATTGTTTCGTGTGGGTTTTCGCTGTCTAGTCTTTCCAGAGAAAATCTTTCCCCAGCTAGTTAGAAGTGTCTAGCTAGGCTGTTCTGCAGTCTTTCCATCGGGCACTTGGTTGTTATTTTTCCTTTATTATTTTCGGGGCGAATCCTGGGTGGGGACGAGATCCCTGTCGGGGGTAGGCTTTCGGGGCCTCGGCCGCCGAAGTTCGCCTTTAAAGTCGCCTCGAGCCCGGCAAGCCCCAGAAGACAGCTTAGGCTAAGTTTTGGGTAGGCAGGTCCTGGGGAAGTGGTTATTCTTTGGAGGGAGCTGGTATGTGATTGTTCTATTGTGTAACCTACGCGTTTTTGTTGTTGCGTGCCTGCGTACAGTTGTTCGTTGTATTGTTAGTTTGTGTTGGCCAGGTAGCTAATGTGGTGAGGATGGCTGTGTTTAGTTTAGAGGAGTTTGTAGCAAACCCTACGCTAGAGCAGCTTGATGGATGTAAGAAAACTGACCTGTTTGCTATCGCTAAACATTATGTTTTTCCTGTGTCTAGTTCCCTTGTTAAAGAAGAGTTACGGGCAGCTGTGACTGATGGGTTAGTGCAGAGCGGTGTTTTGAGTTCATTAGATTTGCCCGCCGCGGCAGCAGTTACACCCGCCGGTGTGAAGCAGGGCGTGGATAAGCAGTGTACGATGCCGAGGTATGATCCGTTGTCCGTGGAATCCTCTCCTATTTCTGGAGGAGACGCGCGGCTGAAGGTTCGTTTAGCTCGACTCCAGTTGGAGAAGGAGGAGCGAGAACGCGAGCACCAGTTCAGGAGGGAGTTAGAGCTTAGAAAGTTAGAAGTTGAATCGACCAGGTTGTTGGAGCTAAAGAAGTTGGAGGCAGAAACAGCCATAAGAATGCGTGAGTTGGAGTTGCAGTCAGCGCAGTTCCCAGCCGCTGTTGCCGGCACAGTGTCATCAGGATCTAACGCTTCTAGTAACTTTGATGTAAGTAAACATATTTCTCTGGTCCCTGTTTTCCGTGAAACCGATATTGAGAGCTATTTCACTGCATTTGAGCGCATTGCTGTTGCCCTGAGTTGGCCAAAGGACGTGTGGGTCATTCTGTTACAGTGTAAACTATCAGGGAAAGCTCAGGAGGCTTGCTCATCGTTGTCTGTGCAAGACAGCCTCTCTTATGAAAAAGTTAAGAGTGCCATTCTGCAGGTGTATGAATTAGTGCCAGAGGCATACAGGCAACGTTTTAGGGCTCTCAGAAAAGGGTTAGGTCAGACTTACATTAATTTTGCCAGAGAAC